TCTACGAAAAAGAGCCCCTTCAATTAGGGTTCTTTCGGCAAAATTTTAGGGCGCCAGCGGGCCGATTATTGAAATTTAAACCAGCCCGATAAGACATCGAATTGCGATATATTGCATGGTTGAGATAGGGCTATGTCTTGTCGTATCGGGCTGACATAGTTTCAATAATCGGGCCGCTGGCCCTTCAAGGCCAGTTCGCTCCAGCGCTCGATGAAATTCAAGGAATGACAATCTTTCGATCGGCTACTAGAAGTAGAGCGTCTGATGAAGAGAAGAAAAGTTCAAAAGGGTTCGTAGACGCTCTGATTAATTTCTAAAAAAGTCACCAAATGCCCTCAAGTTCTACGAAAAAGGGTTCTTTTGGCAAAATTTTAGGGCGCCTGACCGCTCAAGGCCAGCTCGCTCCAGCGCTGGATGAAATTCAATCCTGATAGGAGTGAGAATCTTCCGATGGGCTACTCGGAGTAGAGCGTCTTATCCGAGCCTGATGCGGAGCCGGGGGATGAAGCGTTGACCTTGTCGGGGAGGAAGTGATCGAGGGGCGGGGGCAGGGAGGGGTAGTCGGGCCGCATGACCGTGGGCAGGTACCCGGTGCCCGCGTAGGGGGGGCCGAGGAAGCTCCGGTTGACCCGGTGGTGGGGGTTGAAGGCCCGCTGAAGGGCCGCCGCCGCCGCGTACGGGTGGGGCCCCAGCGGGGAGAACGCAGAGCGCGGCTGCAGGGGGCTCTCCGGATCGGGGCACGCCTGCAACAGAAAAGGAGGAAACGGGAAATTTAGAAAATGGAAAATAAACAATTAATTAAAAGATGTACCTACCAGAACACGCATATTATGAAGAATTAACAGTATATTTTCTCGGATGCATTTTGGTTAATAGCTATCTTCAGCAAGGTATATACAGAGGTAGTATATCTCTTTGTTAAAATTATGCATTATTTATGTTAAAATTAGATATCATAGTTAATTGTAAGTTATTAGCAGTTTAGTCAAACTTTAAAAGACGTATAACACGTCTATAAGTGATTGAAATTGTACACTGTTTATTTTCTTGTGCAAATGAAAAAAAAAATCTTCAGCAAGAAAAATTCACAAAACACAAGAAAGAGCACAATATAAAGATAAAGAAGTGTCACAATGCATGATAAAGACTATGATCAAAAAAGCAAAAGCACAATAATGAAAGAGTTATCGAGAGTTAACTTTTCTGTTAATTCTACATAATATGCGTGTTCTGGTATATGTTTCAATTAATTATTTATCTTGTATTGTTTGAACACGCAAGATGCGATTCTCTAATGATAATGGAGAAGTTGAAAAAAATGTTCAAAATTGACGTGACGTCTAGTGCACCCTAAAAATGCACCGAAAAAAAAAACAGTGACGGGCAAATAGACATACCGTCCGTTCCGGTATCAGGGGCCGAAACTTCCGGGTGCTGGAGGCGTAGCTTCCATTGTTCCGGATGCTATACGCCTGGAGGTTTTGGCCTTTGAACCCGGAACGCGGATGGTTTTTCTGTAAAGCCCGTGACTACGGCTTCCACGGCCGGAGTTTTTTTTTTCAGTGTGGACGAAGAGTAGACAAAATACACGAATTTCAGCATTCTGCTACCTGTTTCCTAACGAAAATTTCACGTAAAACACGTTTTGCGTAACGAGGATTACTGAAAATAACTCCTAATTAAATTGTTTAACGTTTTTTCGTGTGTAAATTCAAACTCCCCCTTATGAAAAAACAGAAGTCTGCTTGCGAAAAATTGCGCATCAAACATTACTGCAACGGTCTCTGCGGTATTAAAATATAGAAACCTTAATGTCGGTGCTTCAGCTCAGATGTTGCACGTTTTTAACACGGTAACACAGGGCGTGGACGGAACTTTATGATAAATCAAGGAGCTTTGAGTTGGGACGAAAAACGTCATATTGCGAGATTTAATTCAAGGATAGACTCAACTGGTCTTTCTCAACTAATGTAACTAAAAATGTTAATATCTTAGTAATGAGTTGATATTAGTCATTTTCGTTGCACAAATTGTGCTTTACGTTAATTTCTGGTGAAGGAACTAGTGGTAGAATGCTGAACTGGGTACCTGACATACTGATCCATTTTTAGTTGTAAAGCTGGTGCAGTGGACTGAAGAAAACTCCGAGTACGGAGGCCGCACTCACTATCTATATAGACATACCGTCCATTCTGGGCTTAGAGGCCGAGAGTTCCGGGTGCTGGAGCCGTAGCTTCGACTGCTCCGGGTCCTACACTCAGAACTTCGGCTTTGCACATATCCATTGTCCATACCAATTGTCTATTTGCATTCCAAGAACAATAATCAGTACTTTCCATCTTATTTCCTTCCATCTAAATATCTCCGTTTTTCACCCCAAATGAATATATTGCAGGTACACGGACTTTATGTCCACAGACTTTTCGTCCACAATTTTTACGTCCACAGTTCTAAAGCCCACACAATTCTTAAGTCCATTATTTAAACGTCCACTAAGTTAAGTTCACAAATGTAAAGTCCACTAAAATCAAATTCGAGCGTTATAATGTATTTTAGTCCGTGTGTAAAATTGTATTGACAATATCGAAATGAGAAAATTAAGAGAGAATGAGGTGTTGTTATTGTAACTCTTAAATGAAATGTTAATTTCTTCTTTTGATTCATCTTTTCAAATTGTCTTTGGTAAATACTCGGTTTCATTTCCATCCTTGAAATTTCCGATATAAAATATGCCTTAAATGTGCATTCTTTTTTTTTAATGAAATTGATTACTTCATTTTAAAAACATTTACATTTTTAAAACGTGGTAAATATTTTTAAAACCTTTTCCAAGCAATGGCATCGATACGAATCTCAATGAGCCGTAGTTGCGATGAAAGAAACTATACAAAAATTAATAAGAGAGGAAAAAAACTAAGAAGCACGCAATTTTTTGTTTTTAACTTATTTGTAAATCGACCTTCTTGGGTCAAATACGTCCAATTATGAGCGTTTAGTATGAGCAGCACAATAAAAGCCCATAACATAAAAGAATCAATTTGAATGCTTTGGAAATCATTAAATTTGACACGGAACCACTATTATATTTACAAAAAACACATTATATTTTCCAGTAGTACATATTTCTTTTTCATCAGTTTAATAGGGAATAATCAATGCAGAGAGTGCAAACATTTCAAAATCATGAGTTGAAAAACGCTGACTCCGCGAGTTGCAATATTAGAGCCAAACACAGATCGGAGCGGCGTGTTAGCAGCGCAGAACGCGCACTGGCGCCTACAAACCTAACGGGATACTTCACGCATTGCGCAACGCGTGAAGTATCCCGTTAGGTTTGTAGGCGCCTGTGCGCGTGTCACGCTGGTTTCCTGCCGCGCCGCAACGCTTTAAGCAACTATTTCGCGTCAGAAGCGTTGCACAGTATCCTACAAGATTGAAAGCGCACGACATAACTAGTTGAAGAGGACTTTCAATTTTGACTGCATCTGTCACTGAAAAATGTTTAATTTGGCATTGGAGCGTTTCCTAGGCTCCCGCTTTGGTTTTCATCTTATCATATCCGTACAGTGTACACATGAACATATGTTTTTATTTGCTCTTAGAGTCTGTTCTCTTTCATGACTTTGATTCATGAATGAAATGTTTTTAAGAATGAAGGTAGTAGTAGTATGCATTTATTTTTGAGGTGGTTCCTGTCATTTAAATGAGAAGAAAACAATGTGGACGTAACATGTCCACAATTTGAACAATTTTGGACATATTCATGGTTGGACATTAAATCATGTGGACTTAATAAAGACCGGACTTAACGTTTAGTGGACATAAATAGCGGTGGACATTTATTTAATGGACGAAAGGTAGGTGGACATGAAGTCCTGGAAGCATATTGCAATTTACTGGAGATTGCTAATTGCCTGCGACAAATACACTGATCCATAAAGAGGAGATTTCATATGCAACCCCTCCCATCATCCTCCCTATTGGGGTACATGTCAGCAGGCCGATTATTGAAATTGACAGACAGAGCTATAGAGAAAGAATACAAGAGAGATATGGAGGAATCTTATCGGTAGAAGCGAGTGATTGCAATGGAAGAAGGAGGCATAGATGACAGACTAACTAACGGCAACCCACGAGAGACCGCACAGATAGTCCATCATTTTCCCCTTAGTCTGTTCTGTAGGAACCAACCATTTCAACTGGTAGGATCGCTCCATACTCCCTATGCCCTGTGTCCTCTTCGTCTATCAATTTCAATAATCAGCCCGTAGATACCCATTCTGCCGTGCGGAGGAAGAACGCCGTATGAACATTCGAGAGTTGCCAAATTTCCTATGTAAAAGTAAAATGTTTATTGTAAGGAAAGATATTAATATTTTTCCTCGAAATTTTCAGGAACTTTAGGTGAAATTGCAAACAACAATATCTGAAACATTAGAAGAAAAATATTCATAAGTTTACCAAGTTATTCGTGTTTTGTAAATAGAAATTTGGCAACGCCTGAAGGCTCATTACGGCGTTTATCTTTGCACTAGAGTACCTGTATAGCGAGAGTATAGACAGATGTGAAACTCCGAAAATCCATCAGGCCTTTCACCGATGCCTCCGCGAATAAAGTTAGGGCCCAGAAATGCAGCCAACCTATTAATTTCAATTATCCAGAGCGACTTACTAATGCAATTGTTACGAACCATCGTTTACAAAGCACGTATTTGACTTAGTTTTTGCCTAAATTTACTCATTTTTGCGGAAGAACGCTCATTTATGTACATTCTTAGCCATCTTGGTTAGAATTGGAATCTGCAGACTGGCAGTAAAATTTTGTGCGTTAGAAGTTGGTTAGAAGGGTGGCTGCACTTTTGGGCCCTAAGCCCTCCATAAAGCGATCCGTCCATACTCTCGCTATGTAGGTACTCTACTTTGGACGANAAAAAAAAAAAAAAAAAAAAAACCAAACAAAGAAAGTGAACGCTTGCTTGCTGCTGGTAAGCTTTCCTTACCTCGGTCTGTGGAGGGCTCATGCGGGACTCGATCTGCGGCGAGGAGGGTGAGGGGCGGTTCGGGGACGGCAGGGACGTTCGGGCGTTCGGAGGGGTCAAACTCCGGGATCTGCTCCTGCTCCTCGACTGTCCTTTTTCGCTTCCAGCATCCTCCTCCTCTTCCACTTCAGACTCCATTTTTGCTCGTTTCGAAACTAAAAACACACACCAAAAAAAACAAATCTTTCAGCGAAAAAGTTCTCGAATCGTTGGATGGTGTTCGCGAAAAATCATATTTTTTACGCTATTTTTGATTATTTTGAATAGTGTCGATCGGGGTGAGGGAGGGGAGGATTTGCTTAATTAACGACCGGGATGTTAAAAATCTGCGAGGGAAGAAAAAGAGGAGGAAAAAATATTATATAGTAAAATAATCATATCCACCACCATATATTTATAAAAGTCATAAATTATCCAAAGATAATAAAACTGACGCTCAGAGGCTCGGAAAAATTGATTTAATTCCAATTTGATGATTCTACTGAAACTTGTGAATGAAACAATTTATAAATGCCACGCGTAAAATAATGTAAAAATGGAATGAAATGAAATAAAGGGATTCCCTTCAAGCGATTCGACAACTGCGCGGAAATAAAAGCAGTATATTAACTCTTTCGCTCGCTATACTTGAGACTTATGAGACCTTGTTGCATGATGAACATCAAATTAAAGAGTTTTTGAGTGTCTGATAACAGGGCGAAATTTGAGGATATCTTCGGTAAAAGAGCCTGTACAGCTTGCTGCTAGGATTGTGCAACTTGGCTTTTTATGCACCACTGACCCATTCAACAGCTCTACCTTGCATTTTCCCCCCGAAATAAGCCCTGTTTTTCATTTTTTGCGGAGAAAATTATTAAAGCTGTTGAGCTAAGATTGTCAGTACGCGGTCTCTATAATATTGTCTCTATCCGTCGCCGTGGTTGCGGACTTACACCGTCAATTTTCCTGTATCAAGAAACTACTATTGGAACGTGCGAGTATTTATACTTAAAGGAATTATGTTGCACGCAACCCCTATGCATATAGTTCCATTTATCATAAATAGTGCATTTCTGGCTCATCAAGCACATTTTCGCACAGGGAAACTCTGCCGTTACAGCGAAGAAAGCAGTAAACGTCAAATTTTCGAAATCGAGTTTACTCCAAAATTCTTCTGATTCATTTTAGATGAAATCACTGAAATAGCTGAAACAGCAAAATTCATCTCAATTGTAACGAGACAGATGAGAAAGCCGCAGTTATGCAAATCATGACGCAGTTTCAGGCAAAACAGCAGTAAGTGACATTATTCCTCCAGAGAGCCAATGAAAACAGTGCTTTAAGTAAAGTGCCCCCTCCTCTGCCAATTTGTTACCTGAAAATGTGTTTGTCATGTGTCCAAAACGCAACCACGAGAGCATGCAGAAGACAACACTTACGGCTGTCTTGCCGAACACTAGCATATAACATGAAAATTAACAGAATCCTCTCTATGTAATTGAAATTAAATCGGTCGATTTTAATCATACATACGATTTTCAAGAATCTTTCGGATGATTAGGGGCAATTTCTGACAAAAAAGGGAGGCTTATTTCAAGAAAATTTTCCGCTCAGCCGCATCTGAGCCTGTTTTCTCAAAACTTCATTTTTGCACCCACTGCTCTCCTCGCCATCACGGCAGAACTGATGCCACATAATTATGGACCGCGTTTAGCAGAAAGGCACCAAGCCACATCAGTTATTGCAAAATTTCATCGGACACTTTAATTTTTTACGTGAAAACTGTTGTGCGGATTTTTGGGCAAAATTCAGCAAATTTTTTGCATAGTACAAAGTAAATTCCTTTAAATTTTCATAGGAACTCGCACAAACGTTCCCTTGTAAAAAATTACATTGCTCAGGTACATTTGGCAATAGCGGATGTGGCTTGGTTCCTTTCCGCTAAACCCGGTTCATATGTTGTTTCTAAAATGAGCCAAAAATAGTAAATGCTGAAAAAATAACTTCCTAGCAACAAATACCATTAATCTAATCTTTGTTTTTTTTTTTAAATTTGTTTATTGTAAGTTCATAGTGCACCTATATTACAAAAAATCCTGATATCAGTAAAATAAAAGTATTTAGTAATGGGATGTCTATAAATCTCATTGGAATAACTTTGTAGGGAGGTCAAATTGATCCTATTCTTATATGAGGACTTATATGTAACAATGGCGGATGTGAAAAATGACCTTTTTGAAACACGCTCAAAAAACTGTTTCGGCATCGAGAAAATCTTGAGAAGATACTTGTGATGTGATCTTCGAGATCCGTACATTACGCCAGAGGCAAACATATTAGATTTGCGTGTGACCGAAACAGTTTTTACGCATGTCTCGAAAAGGTAATTTTTCACATCCGCTATTGTTACAGATAAGGCCTCATATCTGGTCTTAATCTATAGTATAGATAAGTTTATGAGTTTATACGTTTTTTCACTCGAAAAAAGTGGACCTCATGACCCGAAAAGTTCGGGTAGGTTGGCAACTGTGCGCGGAACAAGAGTGGGATCGAGCAAATTCGACACTGGAGTCGCTGCGGAATGCGTCGGGATGAAACAGTAGACGATTTGGTGCGGAATTCGTAATAACGCAGGAATTTCCCTCTATGAGGTTCCTCCGAAACCTATTTAGTGCCTTAATATACAGTAATAAAATAAGATGGGGATCGCATCATCCTCCTCGTGCCAATTCACTCTGGCTCGATTTCCTCCCCCCGGCACCGTCGTCGTTAGCGGTGTCGTCCTCGAAACGTCATTTTCTCCAACACATTTGTGTCACACGCTTGGTTATAATGTGTGTAAGTCGTAAGTGTCGGATAAACGTTCGTATTGTTCTTGGCGCCTCGATGCTCGTGTTTGATTTACACGATATCGGAGAATGGGGCAGGAGTGCTCTTTATGTCCTGAAGTTAATGCGTCATACTGCCGTGTAACGCAAAAATGCCATTTTACATTCACTGGAAAAAAACTCATCAGATCTAGAGTCCAGACTCTTAAAAACATCGACAAAAAAAAAATACTCTTGATTCAATCGGATTTTTGCTTAAATCAAGAACCAAGCCTCTTAATTTGAGCGGATTTCCTTTTGATTTAAGCAAAACTCTGATTCAATCAAGAGTATTTTTTCTTGTCAATGAATTCGAGAGTTGGACTCTAGATCCAATGTGTTTTTTTTTCCCAGTGATGTATCATAGCAGAAAAACTTGTGTACCTGGGGACAATGTTTTTCCAGAATTCTCTTGCAAAAACTATCAAGAATTTAACCTGAAAATTTGAGGCGCATGGGTAAAACGATCTTTATTTTATGAAGTGTCAAGTTCCAAAAACCGAGGGAAAATCTTGATAGATTTACGGCGTTCTTACTTCGCACGGCAGCATACTTCGGGAATCGATTTTTGGGGGTAAAATTGGACTTTTTTGTTATTGGAAATATCTCTCAAAATGCTTTCACGGAAAAAATTGAATGCTGCTTCAGCATTTATAATGTAAAAAATGTGTGACAAGTATAAACGCTGATTTCACAGTTAAAAAAATGTTACGTTAACTAAGACTACGGTTAAATTAAATATTACAATGTTCAGTCAGCATTTTTTTTAAATGTAAGAGCATCATTTGATACTTGTTGCACATTATTTCAAAAGTATAAATGCTGAATTAGCATTCATTTTTTTCCCGTTTCATTTTTTTCGTTGGAGCACGATTAAGTTGTGTGTTTTTAACTTGGGTGGTCTTATCCATTATCGAGTATTTGTGAATGTATGATTATATACCTTGTGGATTGGTCCTTTCAAACTTAGTTCAAAGCGTTAAATACTGGTGAAAATTGAGACTCTCGATACGCCCGATTCTCAATTTTAATTTGAGGGAAGTCATTTTCAGCTTACTTTTCATATTTTCTAATTTCAGGGGTATGGAAAGATGGTAAGACGGAAAGATGGTATGGAAAGACGGTAGCACCACTACAAATAAGACAAACGGAAACTAGCATAATACTTATGGAAATAAAGCAAGGGAACGGATGCGCGTGATGACCGTGCGGCGCAGAGATACAACTATTCGTGCTTGATGGATGTCCGTGTTGCGTCTTCAAAATTGAAGGCGCGATGGCGTGAAGCGTGAATTCGCAATGCTCCGTTCTATACTGCTAATGAGGTGTCGCTCAGATTCGTGAGAAACTTTAAAAAACGAGGGCCCGATCACGTCTCTCCTATCTGCGGTTAAGTTACACACAGCCCTTGAGGCACCACTACAAATAACACAAACCGAAACAAACATATCATGGAAATAGAGCATGGTAAAGGACGCGCCTTGACGACGGCGCAGAGATACAACTATTCGCACTTGATGGACGTCCGTGTTGCGTCTGCAAAATTGAAGGCGCGATGGCGAGAGGCGTGAATTGGCAACGCTCCGCTTTACGCTGTCAATGAGGTGTCGTTAAGATTCTGGAGAAAATTTAAAGAAAGAGGGCCGAATTGATTTTTATTATCTCTGACTGCTTTGACACTCGATTTTTTTTCAATATGATGTCCAACACTTTTTATGGGATGTATTTTTTTGACGTACACCAAGAAGCCGTATGTACCGGCTCCGTACGAGCGTATTGCGACATCACAAATTTTCGCTAGTGTTCTATCCATTCATTAATCTTTTTTAAAGCAACCGACGGTTTATTCTTGAAATTCTTTGCACTCGTCTGATAGTATTAACAGAAAATTTTAAGAGGCCAGTCTCTCGTGAAACAGTAAAACACGATCAAGATTTTTTACACGTTTCGATGGAAGTATGCATTTTTGAACTTTATCCATCTAACTTCTAGGCTTAGTTTGCCTTGCGCAAAATCTTGCCTCACTAAAGAAGAATGTCGTATGAGCCATCGGGTTTCGCCAAATTTCCTTCGACAAATCACGAATTTTCAGGAAAATTTCTAAAAACTTTTCTTCCAATTTTGAAAAAGATTTCGTTCGTGCTTTGATCTAAAAAGTCTGAGATTTTCAAGGAAAAAATATTTATAACTTCCTTTAAAAATAAACATTTTATCGGAGAAAATTTGGCAACTCTCGAATGTACATCTGGCGTTTTTACATAGCACGGCAGAACAAGCTCCCAGCACATGGACTCGTATCGCCTCATACG